TAAGCCACTGGGTCTGGGACACGAACCGCGGTCGACTACGTGGGAGTCCAGCAACATAGCCATTACGCTAACTGCTGGTTCCCTGCATGTCCAAGATCTTGACAGAGAGATGTTGGAGGAGGATTGCAGTGTCACTCTGCCCCATTGCAAAGTGCCTTCTCACTCTTCCTTTCTGTCTGGCAAGTGCACATACCCTCTGACAAAAAATAAAAATATAGGGATCAGCAGTTAGCATAATAGCCATGTCACTGGACTCCCATGTAATCGACTGTGGTTCGAGTCCTGGACCTGGTGGCTTAAACTCATGCCGGGCTTGTGTGCATGTATACCCAAGATCCTGAGAGGAGAATGGAGGAGAATGGACTATGGCATGGCCATCCCTCCTTTGGGGTGATTTCTCACTTTCTGTGTCTCTTTCTGTCGCTCCAGCGAGTGCACATGCCCTATAGCAAAAATCTTTTTTTTTTTTTTTAAAAGAATAGTTGTTAAAAGAATATATTGTTAGAAATGGAATTACTTCGAAAAGACCTTGAGGGACCAGCAGTTAGCGTAATGGCTATGTCGCTGGACTCCCATGTAGTCGACCGTGGTTCGCGTCCTGGACCCAGTGGCTTAAAAAAACTCAGGTTGGGTGCTTGTGCGTGAGTGCCCAAGATCCCGAGAGGAGAATGGAGGAGAAGGGATTGCGGTGTGGCCATCCTCCCTGGGGGGTGATTTCTCGCTTTCTGTCTCTCTGTCTGTCTCTGTCTGTCTGGCGAGTGCATGCGCCCTATAGTGAAAACCTCTCCAAAATAAAAAGAAAAGACCTTGAGATATAGTTGAGAGAACTGAAGATTCAAAGTGAGGAGGAGGAGAGCACAAAGACAACTGCAGGAAGGAGTGTACTGGTAAAGAGCACGTCATTTGAGGTTGAAAGCGTCCTTCGAGGCATGAGAGTGACTGGCTAGCAGGTCAAGTTCTCACACTGAGTGGCAGCCAAGCATTCATGAAACCACACGTCGTGGAGGCACTGGCTTGGGTGTTAGAGAAGTAAGAGGCTTTCTGTCTTTTTCTAGAAGATAACTTTTCTCTTTTCCTTTTCAGTTTACAGGAAAGCCGTCCGTTTTCAGTTGAGTTTTTCAGGAAAATGATTCAGTTTGAAAAGGAGCAAGTAAGTATTTGGTCTAAGCACTTCTTGCCTGGGAAATGGGTTAGCGGTTACTAATCTGTGGTGGCCTTTTGTTATTTTAAAAGCTCTATAATAATACAGTGTAAATGTCTGCTCCCTTGGTCCAACTCTTTGTTTTAGAGCATATGCACTCGCTAGAGAAAAACATAAACAGAGGGAAAGTGAGAAATCACTTTCCAGGGGGGTTGTCCACACTTTAATCTTGTCTTGCAAGTGTATGAACCCTAAAAACTTAAAAAAAAAAAAAAAAAAGCAAAGGAAAAGGAAAAAAATTGTTCTATTTTTTAATTGCCAGTGGGCACATGTACTTGCCAGGTGGAGAGAGTGCAGGCCTGCCCCAGTCACTTCTCTGTTTCTTTATCCTGTTGGTAATCTGGGCACACACACATATGTGCCCAACATATTTTCAGGCCATTGGGGCTGGGATTTGAACTGTGTATGGTAATGTGGGATCTGGTTTTCTCTTTCCTAATTTTTTTTTTTTAGATATTTTTGCTATAGGACACATGTGCTCACTGGAGAAACAGAAACAAATAGAAAGCAAGAAATCACCCCCTATGGGGGATAGCCATGCCACATTCCCTTCTCCTCCATTCTCCTCTCGGGATTTTGGGCACATGTTTAAGCCACCAGGTCTGGGATTCGAACTGCAGTTGACTACATGGGAGTCCAGCGACATAGCCATTAAGCCAACTGTTGGCCCCCTGAATTTTGAATTTTTTTCTTTAGAATTGTTTAATTTTATTTATTCATTCAGTCATTTTCATTTGACTAGAGAAAGACGGACACAGAGAGAGAAGAAAAGTGAGACAGCAAGCCACCAGGTCTAGGATGAGGGCCAGCAGGTGGCATGGTGGTTGGGGTGCTGAATTCCACATAGCTGACTGTGGTTTGAGTCCTGGACCTGGTGACTTGCTTTCTCACTTTCGTTTTCTCTCTCTCTGTCTCTCTTTGGTCAAATCAAAAGATAATAATACTAAATAAAATTGAATAAATAGTTCTTTTAAAAAAAAAAGAAGAGGGACCAGCAAGTAGCGTAATGGCTATGTCGCTGGACTCCCGCATAGTCGACCACGGTTCGTGTCCTGGACCTGGTGGCTTAGAACTCATACTGGGCGTGGGTGCGTGTGTGCCCAAAATCCCGAGAGGAGAATGGAAGAGAGGGATTGAGGCGTGACCATCCCCCCGGGGGGGTGATTTCTCGCTTTCTGTCTCTCTGTCTCTGTCTGTCTGGCAAGCGCACGTACCCTATCGCAAAAACCTATCCAAAATAAATAAATATATAAATAAATAAAAGAAGAAAAAATCTGGTGCATCTGCATGCGTGCCCAAAATCTTGAGAGGGAACTGGAACAGAAGGGATTGTGATGTGAGAATCTCTCCTGGGGGGAGCTCCTCCACACACACCTCCATCTCTAGTGAGCGTACATGCCCTATGGCAAAAAAAAAAAAAGTAAGATGTCTTTAGCCATAAGGAGGAGAATATTCTCCATTCCTTTTCTTTCTTTAAATCCTACTCATACTTTAAAGGTTTCAAATACTGAAAGCCACCCATTCCCACTAAGAATTAATCAGACTTTTCTCCATGCTTCCAGAGCAAAGTGCTTTTATATTTACCAGTTGTTTCACTCTGCTGACTAGTGTATTTGACCTTTTTCTTGATAAATTGAGAGCTAGGCTATGTTCATCTTAAACCTTGACCCTCCTTTCCATTTATATACCTGGGTGGTAGCTTCTTAACAAGATGGTTGAAGTGAATTTATGATATTATAAATTATACTTTTGGGGGACCAGCAGGTGGTTAAGGTGCTGGACACTCCCACATGGGTGAACATGGTTCAAGTCCTGGACCTGGTGACTTGCTTTCTCACTTTCCCTGTCTCTCTCCAGTCAAAATAAATATAATAAATAATTAAAACCATTATACTTTTGAGGCAAGACTGTCTGATTGTGTATTTGTTAGGAATCCTGCAAGATGGCCAATTTGAGAGAGTATTACGAGAGGGCTTTGAGAGAGTTCGGATCTGTAGATGCTGGTAAGTAAACTTCAGTTGTTTGTGTTGTCATGATCCACTAGTATGGCTAGAACAGTGTTAACCTCTTATGTCGTGGCTCTGTTTTAGAATATACTTGAGTCTTTCCCATGCCCTCTCCTTTACTTTGTACATGAATACCTGTACACATGATTTTGCTTATAATTTTGAATTCACAAGCTGAAGAACCCATGGTTTGGGTATATGTATATATTTTAATTATTATTTGATTTATTTTTTAATTTGACTAGTGAGTTAGACAGAGAAACAGAGAGGGAAAGTGAGAAAGCAAGCTGCCAGGTTCAGGATTCAAACCATGGTCAGCCATGTCGGAATCTAGGGCCTTAACTGCCACACCACCTGGCAGCCCCATGGGTTGGATATTAACAACTCTGGGTTAGAAAGATTTTCTTGGTTTGGGTCTCTCTCTGTTTTTTAAAAAAGAATTATTTAATTTTATTTATTGTTATTTTAATTTGCTGTAGTGCATGTGCGCTCATCGGAGAGAGAAAGCAGGTGGAGAGAGAAAGCAAGTCACCAGGTCGGGACTCAAGCCTTGGTCAGTCATGTGGGAGTCCAGTGTCTTAACTACCATGACACCTGCTAGTCCCTGATTTGATTCTTTTGAAAAATGTACTTCTAGGGAAAAAGTTAATAATAGGTCAGAACAAAAAGTAGTGGGAGCTATCACAGGGGGCTAAATATAAGATGCTACTTGGCATTCGATACCGTAATTACTACATCGCTTTCAGTTGTAGGACTAGTATAGCGTGGTTCTAGTGTAACTATGTTGTATAAAATCTGGGACTTTAGAGGGCCGGCAGGTGACGTGGTGGTTAGGGGCGCTGGACTCCCATGTGGCCCATCACAGTTCAAAACCCAGACCTGACGGCTTGCTTTCTTGCTTCCCCGACCCCTTACTCTGTCCTTCTCTGGTCAAATTAAAAACAAACAAACAAATAAAGTTAAATAATTCTTAAAAAAACTCAGGGGCTTTATGAACTTGTGTAGTTACTAAATGCACACTTTAGAAAATACATTTGCTCCTACCAGTGATCTTTTCCTAGTGAGATGAATGAAATTGATTTTTATTAGCCCAAACAACTTTCTAAGTCTGGTAACAGAGCTCTTCAGTGAACTCATTGAGGTCAATATTGCTTGAAAGAGACTCGGTAAAATCCTCCCTCTTCAAGAAATTTAACATTTTGAGTTTCTTAAATAACATAGGCTGTCATAATTAAGCATGAAGATCTTCTACTTAAAAAAAAAAAAATCTGGGACTGGCAGGTGGTGTGGTGGTTAAGGGCGCTGGACTCCCACATGGCTGACCATGGTTTAAGTCCCAGACCTGGCAGCTTGCTTTCTCATGCTCGCTCTCTCGCGTGCGCTCTCTCTCTCTCTCTCTCACGCTATCACTCTCTGGTCAAATTAAGATAAGTAAATAGATAAATAAAGTTAAATAAAATAATTCTTAAAAAAATTCTTCCACTATACCTTAATGTATAAAAACTAACAGAGGTATTGCTTCACATATGGTTCTAGAGAAAAAAACAGCAAGAAGTTGAGTTTTGTATAAATTTTAGGTTGGATGATATTAAACAAACTTGCCTGATAATGTTTACAGTAATTTTTTTGGTTTCTTTTCAAGATCTTTGGATGGATTATATCAAAGAAGAATTGAACCATCCCTTTGGTAGACCTGAGAACTGTGGGCAGATTTATTGGCGAGCCGTGAAAATGTTGCAGGGAGAGTCAGCGGAGGTGTTTCTGGCTAAACACGCAATGCATCAGGCTGGCCATTTGTGAAGAACATAACCAACTTCTGAAATAGTGTTATAAGTCCCCTGGGCAGATCTGTATTATGAGTCAATCCTTAATTGCTCAGAGATGTCAGATAAGATGACCGATTGTTTTTTTTTTTTTTTTTTTTAAATAGCAATTTTTTTTTTTTTTATTAGCAGAGCACCTGTTTAAAGTGAGTATGCTGAAGCACTTCCCTTCCAGCTATATTCACTCAACTGTAAATGACACAACCAAGCAGGTGCCTGCTTTCCATGGAAACCTAGCAATTTAAACACACTGAAGCTCAACAAAAATTTTTATTTAAAATATGTTCCAATCAGAATGTGAACACTCTCTTAATGGCTGAGTGAAGACAGCCAACTGTGCCATGAAGGAGCTCTGATCCCAGCCGTACAGCACTGCGGCCCAGCAGCAGGTGGAGAGAAACCATGTGTCACCCACGTTGTCCTTTAAAAGATTTGTCATTTCTAAAACTGACAAACTGTATTTTTCATCTTAAAGTAGAGGTTTAAGGTCGAGGCAGTCAGTTCTCACTGGTGTTTGAAGTTGGCTTTTCTCTTCTCCACAATGCAGTCATCCCTTTTCTGTCATCAGTGGTGAAGGTTGAATAAAAGAGTTTGTTCTCCAACTTATTTCCTTCTGTTAATGTCATTTCAAAAGCTGCATTCACTGATTCTCTGGCCATCACAACTATAATTTTGGAATTGCTGGCCATTTTTTCTGCACACTGGATGGCTTCTTGGAACAATGTCTCAACAGGAAAAATCTTGCTTATAAGACCTGCTCATTTGGCATCCTGCGCTGAGGTCCGGTCACCAGTGAGGACCATCTCCATTGCCAGCAGCTTTCCCACGGCACGGGGCAGTCTCTGGGTGCCTCCTGCACCTGGAATAGTTCCCAGTAAGATTTCTGGCTGTCCAAACTGGGCTTTCTCCCCAGCATAAATGATGTCGCACAGCATAGCAAGCTCACAGCCCCCACCAAGAGCATAACCATCGACAGCAGCTATGACTGGTTTCTGGACGCGGGTGAGCTGGTCCCGTGGCTCAAGAACTTGCCAGAGTAACAATCTTGTAACGTCGAGTTCTGCATTTCCTTGATATCAGTCCCAGTTGCAAATACCTTATCCCCACCAGTAAGGACAGTGGGCCCCATGGCTGGGTCCTTCTTGAAGGTGGGCTCCTCTGTCAGGCCATCGCAGAGTACATTAAGTGCGTTGGGGTGATTCAGTTGGATCAATCCCTCATTGTTATTTTTCCCTCTTTTCTCTGCGATGATGTATTGAAAGCACCCAAGGCAAGGGAACGCAGGGCGTAGCAGCAGGCTGCGGGGTGCAGCTGTAGGCGGACTAAGGGTAGCAAGGCATGTAGCGCTGCCATGGCGCGCTCTGGATGATGATGACTGATTTTGAGACCTGCTTTAATTTTGAGTTTATGTTTTAATTTTTAATTCCAGCAAAGAACCGCTGATTTTAGAGCTACTTGTTGAAGCCACACCTACCAGGCAGCTTACACATTCTCTAAAATACATGGAAATCACACAGTTAATTTTCCCAGGTCAGACGTGAGTATCTCATCTTGACCTAAAAACGGAGAAGAAAATTCTGGAGAACTTGGAGAAGAAAAACAATTCTGTTTGTTCTGTCCTTGTGAAAATAAACATTATGCATTTGTTTTAGACTGGATGAAATAGAATAATGTGGAAAAGAAAACAGAAGTGCCTTATAATTCATGTAAAATTAAACTGAGTAATGTGATTTTAAAAATCATAATTGGAGAGGTCAGCAGGTGGCATGGTGGTTAGGTGCTAGATGCCCACGTGGCCGACCATTTGAGTCCTGGACTTGTGACTTGAAACTCACACTAGGTACATGTGCATTTGTGCCCAAAATCCAGAGAGGAGAATGGAGAAGAAGGGATTGCAGTGTGGCCATTCTCCCCTGGGGATGATTTCCCTCTGGTAGCCCATGTCCCCTATGGCAAAAACCTTAAATGATAATTGAATTTTATTTATTTATTTTTGAAAATTATTTTCTTTTTTTTTTTTTTTAGAGGTTTTTGCTATAGGGCACGTGCACTCACCAGGAAGAGAGACAGAGAAACAGAAAGGGAGAAATCATCCCCCAGGGGGGATGGCCATACTGCAATCCCTTTCTCTTCCATTCTCCTCTCAGGATCTTGGGCATGCATGCACACGCACCCGGCATGAGTTTAAGCCACCGAGTCTGGGACTTGAACCGCGGTTAGCTATATGGGAGTCCAGCGACATAGCCATTACACCAACTGCTGGTCCCCATAATTGAATTTATACTATTAGATATTCCATTCATTCAGGAAATTTTTGTCTGTCATAGACAAAAAATCGAGAGGTTTTGTGGGAAGAAGGTTGGGTTGGAACACAAGAGTTGAATGTCCTAAGAGAACTGGTTAGGGTACCAGAAAGAAGTGCTGGGTATTGGGAAGAGTTGTCCTTTAAGAAGTTGAAGACGGTCAGCCAGGTAGCATGGCAACCGGATCCCACATGGCCCACTGCATGGTTATGAGTCCTGGGCCTAGCAGCCTGAAAAACACACCAGGTGCATGTGCATATATGCCCAAAATCCAGAGAGGAGAATGGAGGAGACGAGATAGCAACGTGACCATGCCCTCTAAAGGGTGATTTCTCACTTTCCCTCTCTGTTTCCAGGAAGTGCACGTGTCCTATGGCAAATTTGAAAGAGAGAAGGTAAGACGGTATGAAAGACTGTCTTTGGGACTGATAATCAGAGAAGTGTTTGCCTTGAGGATGCCCAGCAACAAAAGCAGGTTGGGGTGTGAGTAGATTAGAACAGGGAAGCGTGGAAGGATGACTGGGAGTAGAGAAGGGCATAGTGGGAGCAGGGGAGGGAATCGTTTAACACTGTGATACCACTGGGAGAAGCATTCAGTGCAGTTTTACTCATTTAATATTATGTTTTTCCATGTCATTAAAAAGCCTTAAAATTTCTGATGAATTCATAGCATTCCATGGTGAAAATTAGCTGTGACTTGTTTTATTAATCTATGGTTGGATCTTGTCCTTTCTAATTTTTTTCTTACTCTAAATGCTACTGATGATTTCTGTCAATTCTTTTTCAGATTATTTTCTTAGGATATCGAGTTCTGAAAGTGGAATTACTGTGTCAAAAGGATGTAACTTTTAGGGAATACTGATATGTGGGTCAGCTTGTGGCATGGATCCTTCATGGCTGACTGCATGGTTTGAGTCCAGGAACTGGTGACTTGAAAAACATGCTAGGCACGTGTGTGTGTGTTCCCAAAGTCCTGAGAGAATGAAAGAGAAGGAACTGAGATTGGCCACTCAGCCTCCCAGGGTGCTTTCTCACTTTCCCTCTCTCCCTCAATCTCCCTCCTTCCTTCCCAATGCATACACCTTGTAGCAAAGTTCTGTTTTGCTTTTAGGTTTTTGCTATACAATGCATGTGCTCACCAGAGGGAGGGAAAGTGAGGAATCCCCTTAGGAGGGATGGCCACACTGCAGTTCCTTCTCCTCCATTCTCCTCTTGTGATTTTGGGCATGCATATATACTCAGTGTGATTTTCAAGACACTGGGTCCAGGACTTGAACCACTGTCAGCCATGTGAGAGTCCAGCACCTTAACCATCATGCCACCTGCTGGCCCAGCTCTGAAGCAAGTTTTTTTTTTTTAAAAGAGTATTTGATCATGTGTTGCCAATTTGTGGCTTTTTTCAAGCAGTGTGTGAAAGTTTTGACACCCTTACCTGCACTGGATATTTTATATATATATAAAAAATGTGTGTGTGTGTAAATATATACCCATTACAGGTAATATAACATACATTGAATGTATGTATATATATATATATATTTAAAAACATATTTAACCTGCACTAAGTATTTTGTATGTGTGTGTATGTGTATGTGTAATTTGCCAGAGGGTATGTGGGCTTGCCTAGAGAGAGAGAGTAAACGTGATAAAGCACCCTGGATGGCCATGCCGTAACCCCTTCTCCATGTCTCCCTTCTTTTAGGGTTTTGGGCATGCATTCCTAAGTGCCTGGTGTTTTTCAGGCTGCCAGCTCTGGGACTTGAATTATGCTGTTGGCCATGTGGAGTCCAGCAGCCTTAACTACCACTCTACTGTCTGGCTCTATATTTTTTATTCTTTAAAAAAAAAAAAAGAGGGACCAGCAGTTAGCGTAATGGCTATGTTGCTGGACTCCCACATAGTCGACCGCGGTTCGCGTCCTGGACCCGGTGGCTTAAAACTCATGCCGGGCGCGTGTGCGTGCATGCCCAAGATCCCGAGAGGAGACTGGAGGAGAAGGGATTGCGGCGTGGCCATCCCCCCTGGGGGGTGATTTCTCGCTTTCTGTCTCTCTGTCTCTCTCTCTGTCTGGCGAGTGCACGCGCCCTATAGCAAAAACCTCTCCAAAAAAAAAAAAAAGAAAGGCCTGGGTGGGAAGGTTCTTTTTGGCCCTGTTGACCTAGAGCCTGTTAGATTTGGAGAAATTTGACTCATACCTCAGCAGAACAAGGTATGCATTAATTGGTTACATCCCCTTCTCTATAGGAAAATCTACATAGAGAAAAATAAAAACATTGAATAGTATGTGTCAGTTCTAATTTTTTTCAAATGCCTTATGAAATTTATAAAAACATATTTTAAAATTTTTAATTGTTTTAAAAGCCAAAGGGAGTAGGCGCATGCAGAAGAGAGAGCACAATGTACTGGCCAAAGGAGTCTGGCCAGGACTAGAACCCTCGTTGGCCATGGGGGAATCGAGCCTTGTCTACACAAAGGGTGTTATGGAATATACACTTTTTTTTTTTTTTTAAGAACCATTTAACTTTAGGGAACCAGCAGTTAGTGTAATGGCTATGTCGCTGGACTCCCACGTGGTCGACCGCGGTTCGCGTTCTTGACCCGGTGGCTTAAAACTCATGCCGGGTGCGTGTGCATGCGTGCCCAAGATCCCGAGAGGAGAATGGAGGAGAAGGGATTGCAGCATGACCATCCCCTCTGGGGGGTGATTTCTCGCTTTCTGTCTCTATGTCTCTCTCTGTCTGGCGAGCGCACGCGCCCTATAGTGAAAAATCTCTCAGAAAAAAAAAAAAAAGAACCATTTAACTTTAGAGTACCAGAGGTTGCGCATGGAAATGTAGGACCCTGCTTTAGAGACTACTATCAGCATGGGATTTCAAAAAACTTATTAGTTGTATGTATTCATTAATTTATTTTTAATATGTAGAGAGAGGGAGAGGGAAAGTGAGAAAGCAAGCTGCCAGGTCCGGTGACTTGAACCATGGTCAGTCATGTGGGAATGTCCAGTGCCTTAACCACCACGCCACCTGCCGGTCCCAGAGCATGGGATTTTTAAGGGTGCCTGTGACTGTCAGTATGTACTGTTCCACCTGACTTAGGAATTTGTCCTTTCAAGCATCTGTTCTGGTATCTAGAAAATGTTTTTAAAATAGTTATTTTATTTAACTTCGTTTATTTTAATTGACCAGAGGGTGGGGGAGAGAGAGAAAGGAGGCGAGCTGCCAGATCTGGGACTGGAACCGCGTCAACCATGTTTTTATAAATTTTAAATAATAGGGGCCAGCAGGTGGCGTGGTGGTTAAGGGTGCTAGACTCCCAACTTGACAACTACGATTCCAGGACCTGGCGGCCTGCTTTCTCACTTTCTATCTGTCCTTCTGTGGTCAAATTAAAATAAATGAATAAAATTAAATAAGATAACTATTAATTTTTTTTTTAAAATACGACTGTTCATCCCAAGTGGAGAGTCATTGGGCTGCTGAAGTTGTCTTACCCATTTGTGGAGGAGTTGTAGTCCAGTTCCAGCCTCTATTTTAGAAAAACCTCATAGAAACAGCGGATGTGGTCGGAGGGTCGAGCGCATTAAACCTTGACAGCTAGGCTGTACACAGAGCTAGGCTGTACACAGAGCGTTTGGCGCCGTTTTATCCTCTAACGGATATTCGAGGATGTGAAGCTGGAGCACGCTCGGCGTGCTGGGGCGAGGTGCCCCGCCCTCCAGACCTCGCCGGCCCCTGGCTTGGGGCACCCGAGCCCGCACGCGGGAGGCGGGGCGGTTCTCGTGGCCCCGCCCCCG